CAATATGCAACATATGCCACTTTTATAAAATGTATGCACCTGTTAGCTTAGATCTAGAAAAATAAACACCACCAAAATGTTTACAAGGGAGGTTTCCCTGGATAAAATGATTTCAGATTATTTTTCATTTCTTACTGTCTATACGTACTTTATTTTTACAATGAATAGGCACTAGCTATGTAATTCTGATGTTATTTTAAAAAGAAAATGCAGGGGTGAGCCCTGTGACACAGCAGTTAAGTTCATGCACTCCACTTCAGCAACCCGGGGTTTGCAGGTTCGGATACTGGGTGTAGACCTACATAATGCTTATCAAGCCATGCTGCAGAAGGCGTCCCACATATAAAATAGAGGAAGATGGGCATGGATGTTAGCTCAGGGCCAATCTTCCTCAGCAAAAAAAAAAAAAAAAAAAAAAGAGGATTAGCAGCAATGTTAGCTCAGAGCTAATCTTCCCAAAAAAAGAGAAAGAGAAAAAAATAAAAAGAAAATGCAAAAGCCTGAGAATTCAGTAAGAGTGAATACTATAATTAAAAGATCGTGAAATGGGGGCTGGCCCCGTGGCTGAGTGGTTAAGTTCGCGCCCTCCGCTGCAGGCGGCCCAGTGTTTCGTTGGTTCGAATCCTGGGCACGGACATGGCACTGCTCATCAAACCACGCTGAGGCAGCGTCCCACATGCCACAACTAGAAAGACCCACAACGAAGAATATACAACTATGTACCGGGGGGCTTTTGGGAGAAAAAGGAAAAAATAAAATCAAAAAAAAAAAAAAAAGATCATGAAATGTTTCTAAGTTTTGATTTTCCAAAGTCCAAACAATATCAGGTAAGTTAAAAATCTGGGTTTTATACTTGGAAAATATTCACATATTACTGCCAGAATAGTAAAGCTCTTTAGCTTTAAAAACAACCATGTTTGAGGCCGGCCCGGTGGCCCAGGCCAAGAGGTTAAGTTTGCACACTCTGCTTCAGCGGCCCAAGGTTTCACTGGTTCGGATCCTGGGCTCATCAGGCCACGCTGAGGCAGCATCCCACAGACCACAACTAGAGGGACCTACAACTGAAATATACAACTATGTACTGGGGGGATTTGGGGAGAAAAAGCAGAAAAAAAATTTTTTAAAAAGAAGATTGTCAACAGTTGTTAGCTCAGGTGCCAATCTTTAAAATAAACAATTAAATTTTAAAAAGTAAAAAAAACAACCATGTTTTCAAATGCTATAAAGGACATTATTGGGTCAACTGACAAACTGGAATACAAAGAGCATATCTGATCAAAGTATTCTAGGGGGCCGGCTCCGTGGCCCACTGGTTAAGTTCGTGCGCTCCGCTGCGGCGGCCCAGGGTTCGGATCCTGGGCGCGGACATGGCACTGCTCGTCAGGCCACGTTGAGGCGGCGTCCCACATCCCACAACTAGAAGGATCTGCAACTAAGATATACAACTGTGTACGGGGGCGGTTGGGGGAGATAAAGCAGGAAAAAAAAAAAGATTGGCAACAGTTGTTAGCCCAGGTGCCAATCTTTAAAAAAAAAAAAAGTATTCTATGGATGTTAAATTTCCTTGTTGATAACTGTGCTAAAGTTATGTAAGACAATGTCCTTGGTTCTTAGGAAATACAGATTGAACTTTCCAGGGGTAAAGGGGCACGATGCATAGCAACTTACTCTCAAAGCTCAGCAAAAAATACACAATAATAGAATGAATGAGAAAGAAAATGCTGACTAGCAGAAATGATAACAATTGGTAAATCTAGGTAAAGGGTATGAGAGTTGTTGGTACAATTTTTGCAATTTTTTGTAAGCTTGAAATTACTTCTATATAAAATTTTTAATTGAAAACAGTAACACAAAAAATATTCAAAAATCATCCTGAAAACATTTAAAATCATGCTGGACCAACTTCAAGCAAGAAATTAGTACTATCCAGGAAAAATATATGAGCCATGTATGTAGTATTTTCTAGTAGCCACATTAAAATTAAAAGAAACAGGTGAAAATAATTTTTATATTTTACTTAGCCAATATGTAAAATATTATTTCAGTGTAATCAATATAAAAATTGAGATGTTTTACAACTTTTTCATACTACGTCTTCAAAATCTGGTGTGCATTTTACACTTCCAGTAATCTCAATTCAGAGGCTTAATTTTCAGAGGAAATTCTTGATCTGTACTTAGATTTTATAAAACGCACAGTTAAAAAAGTAGATTCACATGACCAAGTTGTTTCAAACACAGTTGTTTGCCAATCACTGAATAGAATATTAGTTTTTAAACATAAAGGTAAAGTTAATTAAAATTAAATAAAGTGGAAAATTTATTCCTCAATCACACTAGCCATAACGCAAGCTCAGCAGCCACATGTGGCTACACTATTGGACAGTCCAGCTTTACACAACGAAAACAAATTTCCTCTGAAAGGAGGACTTGATTGATAAAACTTAGTTTGTCATATTTATCAAAAGGTTTTTAACAGTTATGATAAAATAACGACTGATGTTCCCATCAGAAGCGCTGGCATCTCTCCAAGTCATAAGCACACATTCGCTACACCATGCCACTCAGAAATACCAACACAAAGCCTCAGTTGTCACACTGTGAGTTTCTTCAAAACTAGCTACTGAATGGCCAACTCACTTTTTAAATGTGGCAGAATTAAGTTCTGCCTCTCAGAAGCCTGGACATCCACTGTACAGAGTGCAGAGCTTCTGCACAAATACTGTCTGATAATCCTAAACGGGAGCATCCACACAACAGAACTCCTCTTGGATTTAAAAGAGGAAGTGACCCTAAGTACAGAGGTGGTATATTTTTTCTTTTTAAACAGGTGTAAGAGATTAATTCAGTCAACACCAAGCAACACTAAAGATTCGCCAATCAATAATTCTGTGCCAAGCAACCTGATCAGGGATTTGGCTAGAATCCCATGGGCTAATCTCAGTAAGGACCTTCCCAAAGACAATCCTGATTTAGGGCGTTCTCATCTAAATTAAGGCTTAGGCAGTCCTTTGCCTGAAAGCAAATAAACACCACCAAATTATATACGTATGAATAAATTTCTGTCTGCTTGACAAAAAGAAAACCTACTTGAAAGATAATTTAGTAAGTGTGGGCAAAAATATAGTTCTAAAGAACAGATGTTACCATAAAACAGCATTTAAAAAACATTTTAGGAAAATGTCTAATTCCTACTTTCTGTCTAGCCAGAATTTTGAGTTGAACAATGCTGTGTGCAACAAATTTAATCCACAACAACTAATTCTGATATTGTTAGTTTTTTTCTCTGCAGGCACACGTGTTATTTTTCTTAACCCTGAAAGGAAGAAGTTCATTAAAATTGATGAATCCTTTATTGCGAATTCACCAGTGCCTGAAATTACTCATACCCCTGGGAAGCAAGGTAAAAGAGTGTGAACAACGGTTTTTGACAGCCTGACCTAAGAGGTAAATTCTATATTCCATACAAAATCCTTTTTTCCCTCCCCCTCCCATCCTACTGATCTAGTCTGCTTTCATGAGACATCATATGGGGAAGCACAGACACAAATCTAGCCATTGTGTGCAAAGTAAAATAACCATACTCTAAAGCATGTGTATATAAACGTTAACTATTTCTATTTAAAACTTCCTTTTTTCCCCTAAGAAATCATAAAGCTTTAATCAGGATGAATAAAAATGTTTTAAGCAGTTCCATCGGAGAAGGTTTGTTCCTGATTAGATGTGTTTTGCCCGTGGAAATGTTTAATCATTCTTGTAGAGGAACATTCTAACTCGAGGTTTTTATTAGAAACTTCTTGCTCAATGCCTATGTAATCAAACCCAGTCTCACTTCTCTCTGAAATTAGCTAAATACGCAGAAATTCATTGTAATTTTAAAAACAGTGAAGAGGGAAAAGAAATAAACTACACCAGAAACACGCATTCCAGTCCGACAGTTCCAGCACTATTTCGAGAAGGCAAGTAAAAATAAAGTCCCAGGTCTCCCTCAGGAACAGAACCGTTTCCACGAAGCTGCAGCGTCCACACCGCGCCGCAGCACCCACCCTGACCCAGCAACCCTGGAATCACCCACAAATCCGGGCCACTTAACCGCCTCGCAGCACAAAGATGTTTACGGAGTTATCAAGATGCAGGACTACTAAATTCTGACACCAAAACAGCACGATTAAACTAAAGTTTTTACAACGTATTCACGGGTACCTTCTCTACTCACTGAACCTCACACCACCAGAGAAGGGTCCCCCTTGTTTATGAGACTTAGGCAAACAGCTATATTTAACAATTCCTCTCAAGGGCCCGATGCCAGAGCGGTGGATCTATTCGAGAGGGAGGCACAGAGGAAGCAGAAGGCACACCCGCTGCTTGGTGCAAGAGCATTCTCACCCCGCAGCCAAAGACGCGCTCGCCCGGGCAGCACCGCCGCACTTTCCAAGGGCCAAACCGGGAAACCCGCATCCCCACAGCCAAGCCTACGCTGCCAACAAAGACCGCATCTGCTGCTTCCCGGCGGGAAGCCCCACCACCCTACGCGGGAAGCGCGCTGCCCGCTTTGGCCCGGGGCCTGGGGTCTGCGCGGGGCCGCCCCGGAGGGAGCTCGACCGCCGGCGAGGCCGCAGGGCGCACGGCAGAGGCTCGCATTGTCCGGGGGCAGGGCGGGGTGGGCGTCTGGGCCGCGCGTGGCCCCCAAAGGATGTGGCGGTGCCGTGGCTGGGACGGTGGCTGGGGCGGCCCGCCGCCCCCGCGCCCCGCAGCCCCGATGCCTTTCATTTGGCCTCTGCGGCGGCGGAGGCAGCCCGACCTCCAGCGCTAAGCACTGCGCAAAGCAGGGGCGGGCGGGCGGGGGAGGGCGCGCCAGACCCGCCGCAGCGCAGACCACCCCCACCGCCCCCCGCGCCGGCCCCCAGCGGCCAGTCCAGGACCCCGCCGCCCGCCCGCTCGCAGGCCGCGCGCCCTCGGCGGGCGGTGGAGACTGCGCTCGGGCGCTCGCCCGGTCCCCACCTCGATGTAGCCGGCCAGCGCCGCAGCGGGCGCTGTGAGCCCGAGCAGCAGCAGGACCAGGAGTCTGCCCGTGGCCGCGGCGGCCGCGGTCCCGGGGGCCGCCATCCCTCGTCGGGTCGCTCTAGCGCTCGGCTCCCAAGCTCTCACACTCCAACTGACTAGCTTTCCCCACCGCGACCCAGAAGCATCTGAAGCCCGTTCGCCGCCGCCCCGGGGGGTTTTACACCAACCGGAACTGACTTCATAAAACCACGCCCTACTTCTCCGCCGCCCAATGCCGGCCCGCAGGGCCGACCCAAGACACCGCCCCTTGTTCAGCCCAGACCCAATCAGGGGATGGCAGAGGTCGCACCTCCGCCCGCCCTAGCCGCACGCCCCGCCAGGCCCCGCCCCCGGCCGCGGACGGCCCCGCCCCCGCCCCTGCCCGGGAGCCAGCGGCCGCGGGACTCGGGGCGTGCGCGGAGGGTCGGGGGCCGCGCCTGGGCCGGCGGGGCTCGCTGCGGCCTCCCGCCCCGAGTGCGCTTATCTGCCGGCGCTGCGCCCGTCGGTCGGCCTGCTGCCTCCAGATACCGGCTCGCCCCGCTCCCCCGCCCCTGCGGGGTATTTTTCAGATTCCTTTGGGTACCGCCCCTATTTGGTTCTGAAAATGGTTTTATTAAAAACAATTTTGAAACAAACAAAACAGGATGAATTGTTCCGAGTCCAGGCAGGTCTGCCGAAGGCCCTCCCCCGAGGCGAGGGCGGGCGGGGGGCCGCAGCCCGCTCCCCACTCCGCGCGGGCGCACCCCTTCCCGGCGCCGCCCCGCGCTGCGACCTCGGTTCCCAGGCCTCCTCTTCGCCCTTCCTCCCCGGCGGCGCTCGAGCCGGGATCGCTGCCAGCGCTGGAGACCCGTGGTGCAAGGGCCGCGCTGACCTTAGAGCCCGGCTCCCCTCGCTCGTGTGTGTTAGGAAACGATCGTTTTTCTTTCTGATGCAGTAAGCGCGCTAGCAAAACACCGGTTCTCCCCGCCTTCTCGCTCCGCTGCATTCCACTCCGACTGGGAAGACCCGCTGCGGCCCCGTCGCCAGCTGCCACGGCCGGGCCGCGCCGGCTTTGTTTCCTTTCAACGGCCTTGTGATTTGTAGACCACCCTCCGCAGAGTCCTTGCTATTCCCTCTAGGTTCAGCCAAATAAATAGAAAACAGGGTCTCTACCCCAGGAAACAGACAGTAAGAAGGAAGGGACGAGTGTCCGCAGGCTGAACAGTGGAGCGATGAGCAGAACGCTGGACTTCCAGCCTTACTGGGTGACGTGCCCAGTTCCGGGTGGTTTGGCAGGCTCTGCCCCATTCCCCAAAAACAGCCCGCACCTTTCCACTCCAGAGCCCTCCCTCGGCCTGCAGTGCCCGCTCCCCGCTTGCCACCTGTTGAGACATTGTCGTGCCGTCTCTGCTCACTTGGACATAGCATCATCGGCTTCTGATCCCCAGACTCCGTTTCCCATTGTAGCACTTGGCCCCTGATTCTGTGTAGACCTCTCTGATGCCACCGACAAGACAGTGTGCAGCATGTCATACTGCAGGGCCTCTCTCAGTGGAGACCTCGACGCGTGTTTGTGCAGTGTCAGTGAAACCAGTTAGTTCGAGAACTGTCGCCATGGACTGAATTGTGTCCTCCCGAAAGCTCACACATGTTGAAGCCCTAATCCCCACTGTGATAGTACTTGGACGTGGGGCCTTTGGGAGGTAATTAGGATTTGATGAGGTCATGAGGGTGGGGCCCTCAGGACGGGATTAGTGTCCTTTGAGAAGAGACCACAGAGCTTACCTCCTCTCCTGTCACCCCCAGGTGAGGACACAGTGAGAAGGAGGTGGGGAAGAGGGCCCTCATCGGGGAACCAAATCTAGTGCCAGGATCTTGGACTCCCCAGGCTCCAGAACTGTGAGAAATAAACTCGTGTTGTTTAAGCCCCCAAGTCTGTGGTCAGTCGTCCTGGCAGCCGAGCCGACTAGCGTGCCACCTGACTATGGGCATTCTCTTCATCGTTTGGACTCTCTTTCCTTTTCTGTCAAGTGTGAATACTAAAAACTCGTCTCCAGCCAGCCCTGAGGGCCTAGTAGTTAAAGTTCGGCACTCTCAGCCCTTCAGCCAGCCAGGTTCACTCTGGTTGTGGAACCACACCACCCATCTGTCAGTTGCCATGCTGTGGCAGTGGCTCACATAGAAGAACTAGAAGGACTTATAACTATGATATATAACTATGCATTGGGGCTTTGGGGAGAAAAAAAAAGAGGAAGACTGGCAACAGATGTTAGCTCAGGGTGAATCTTTCCCTGAAAAAAAAACACACCGTGTCTCAACTCACCAATTTGTGTGATTCAATGAAAAATGAATGTACAATAGTGAAAAACATGAAAGGACTTAACCATAAAGGGTGAAATGAGGGTAAAGCACCATGTTACCAAGTGCAAGTTCCTATGAAAGTATGTATGGAAACAGTGTCCCCGACGGGTTAGTCCCAGCGCTGGTGCCGAGCCTTAGGTGAGTCCTGTAACACAGCGTCAGAAACTTGAACTGTGGGATCTCTAAATTGCCGTGAATCTAAATGGGGAGAGGAAAGCGAGTGAAATTACCTGAGTTTAGAACCGTGACGTCGATATTCATGCCTTGGAGACTGTGTATTCAAGACTGAGCTTTAGTATTGTGGGATGGAACTAGGAAATGTAAAAAAATGATTTAGGGGGTTTCACTCTAAAATTAGTTAGGTCTTGAAGGAAGTTTATTTGCATTTTTGGGTCACTGATGGATTATTAACAAGAGTTTATTGCACCATTCATCAATGTTCTTGACTTTAAAATGTTACCCTCTTTTTATTAAATGACACAGACAAGAGCATACCTAGTCTGCAATTCTCAGACAATACTTTTTTATCCTAAATAAGTTCACATCAGTGGCCAAGTCTTTGCAAGAATACTGTTTCCATGTTATTACCCTTTGTACACAAAAGTAAAAGGCCCTAAAATAACCTGTTTTTTCTATCTTCTTAAGAATCAGACTTTCAGGGGTCAGCCCCGTGTCATAGCGGTTAAGTTCAGTGTGCTCCACTTCAGCGGCCCAGGTTCACAGATTTGGATCCCTACACCACTCGTCAGCCATGCTGTGACAGTGACCCATATGTAAAGTGGAGGAAGATTGGCACAGATGTTAGCTCAGGGCAAATCTTCCTCAGCAAGAAAGAAAGAAGGAAAGAAGGAAAGAAGGAAAAGAAAGAGGGAGGGATGGAGGGAGGGAGAGAGAGAGAGAAAGGGAAAGAAAGAAAGGAAGGAAGAAAGGAAGGAACAAAGGAAGAAAGGAAGGAACGAAGGAACAAAAGAAGGAAGAAAGAAAGAACAAGATCAAATAAAATACCTTACATTAAAAAAAAGAAGAAAAAGAATCAGACTTTCTCATAAAAGAGTTATCTTCTTCTATCAGTACACTCTTAAGATGTGTACATTTCAGTGTTAGGAAAAAATGTACAGTTTATGTCCCTAAATGTATACCTATATGAGCAGCACTCACTCATTCATTTGGCCTATTTATTCAACCCTAATTCAGGTGAGGTCAACCGGCTAGAGTAGTTGCACCCAAATCATGACGCTTTACTGAATCAACTAAGAAGTTTTATTAGAAGGCAAATTCCTGAGCTCCTACCTCAGAAATTCTGAATTACTAAGGCTAAGGTGTCATAAAGAGTCAGTTTACTATACTTTTTTAAAGCTCTGAAGGGGGGCTAGCCAGGTGTTGTAGCACTTAAATTCGTGTGTTCTACTTCAGCAGCCTGGGGGTTTGCCAGTTCGGATCCCAGGCACAGCTTATCAAGCCATGCTGTGGCAGGCATCCCACATGTAAAGTAGAGGAAGATGGGCACAGGTGTTAGCCCAGGGCCAGTCTTCCTCAGCAAAAGGAGGAGGATTGTTGGTGGATGTTAGCTCAGGTCCAATCTTCCTCAAAAAAAAAAAAGCTCTGCAGGGAATTCTAATGCACTAATACTTTTTCTTTTTTTTAAAGAGTGGCACCTGAGGGGCTGGTCCGGTGGAGCAGTGGTTAAGTGCACATGTTCCGCTTCTCGGCAGCCCAGGGGTCACAGCCCAGGGTTCACCGGTTTGGATCCCTGGTGCGGACGTGGCACCACTTGGCAAAAAGCCATGCTGTGGTAGGCGTCCCACATGTAAAGTAGAGGAAGATGGGCGTGGATGTTAGCTCGGGGCCAGTCTTCCTCAGCAAAAAGAGGAGAATTGGCAGCAGTTAGCTCAGGGCTAATCTTCCTAAAAAAAATAAAAAATAAAATGACCAGTGTTTTGGTTTTCCAAATAAAACATTAAATTCAGACACAGCTGTGTATTATCACCACCGTTTCATTAAAGAAAGAACATTTAACAACAAAAGAAGTAAGAATGATCATAATTTTAAAATGTAAAAGTTGGATACAACTCACTACATTGCCTTTGTTTTCCCCGTTACAAATCAGAACGGGGAACACTTCACAATGGAACGGTCCTGGTCTAAGACAGGTGTTGGAACATTACCGTATGGGAAATAAACATGAATCGGTTATACACCTCGGTCCTGGCCTATAACTGTGCCGTTCCCAGAATGCATCCCTCCCCTGCCCCCAACCTACCACCCCGTCCAGGACTGACTTAGTGCGTAAGGCTTGGTTCAAGTATCACGTGCTCACAGAATTTTTCTGCTCTTCCTTCTTCTCCAAGGCTGAGTTGCTGTACCTCCTTTCTGTCCCCAAAAACATTCTGTACGCACCTCTGACACACTATTTGTAAACCGAATATTAATTACTTATTTTCTTTACTGTCTCCTTAATTATACCCTACACTATTTGTAAACCGAATATTAATTACTTATTTTCTTTACTGTCTCCTTAATTATACCCTGAGTCCCTTGAGGGGAGGAACCACGTTTTGCTTATTTTTCATTCATTTCTGTACCTACAATCTGGCATAGTGGTTCTACTCAACAGGCATTCAAAAAATACTTGCTGAATGAACATGTAACTACATGAGCTTTACAATCCGGCAGAGAGGATAAGACTTGTGCATGCCTAAATAAAGTACTGGGTGGAAAGTCATAAATGGCCTAAGAGAAGAACTGCCTACATATTTTAGAAGTAAAACAAAGCAGGAAGTTAGGTACACCTGACTGGGGACTGCGGCAAGGATCATAGAGGAGAT